TCGAGGACCTATCATCCTATTGATAAGGATTGATAAGTTGATTGTCAGAGGTGTATTGTTAACGTGACAAATTGGGAGTGATGCAAGCTGCATTCATACTCTGTGGGGTGATGATCATCAGAAGTGTAATGTTAATTTAACGATGTGAAATATTTATTACTCTTAATCCAATGGATTCCAAGTAACCAACCCCCAGTCTTGATTAAGACTTAGCAGGGGAATAAAAAGAGGTAGACAAGGCACATCACCTAGTAGGGCACTATCCATGAAGTCGGAATAGAGGCACATCACATGCTGTTAACGTGATAGTTTTGGTGGACCCGCCATCCTACTTGAAGAGGATTGGTGGGGGAACTTGGAGGAAAAGGACTATCAGAGGTGACGGTTAACGTGATAGTTTTGATGGACCCGCCATCCTACTTGAAGAGGATTGGTGGGAGAATTTGGAGGAACTAGACTATCAGAGGTGACGGTTAACGTGATAGTTTTGGCGGACCCTCCATCCTACTTAAAGAGGATTGGTGGGGGAATTTGGAGGAAGGTAGACTATCAGAGGTGATCATTAACGTGATAGTTTTAGTGGACCGCCATCCTATTGAAGAGGATTGGTGGGGGAATTTGAAGAAAAAAGGACTATCAGAGGTGACGGTTAACATGATAGTTTTGTGGACCCGCCATCCTATTGAAGAGGATTAGCAAGTTGATGGACTATCAGAGGTAAATGTTAACGTGATAGTTTTAGTGGCCCCGCCATCCTATTGAAGAGGATTGGTGGGGGAATTTGGAGAAAGGTAGACTATCAGAGGTGATCATTAACGTGATAGTTTTAGTGGACCCGCCATCCTATTGAAGAGGATTTGGTGGAGAAATTTGGAGAAACTAGACTATCAGAGGTAACTGTTAACGTGATAGTTTTGATGGACCCACCATCCTATTGAGGAGGATTGGTGAGGGAATTTACATAACAACTCAGAAAATTTATTACTTATATTCCAATGGACTACAAATAAACCAACCCCCAGTCTTGAACAAGTGCAGGGGGGAAGGGTAGACGTGACACATTGCCTAGTGAGCCACTGTCTAACGAGTTTGACTATCAGAGGTAACTGTTAACGTGATAGTTATTGGACCCACCATTCTACTGGAAAGGATTGGCTTCAGCGGCCGTAGTATCTTCCGGTTCTGACTGGGAAGAGTGAGCTTGGTCCGATTGCTCAGGAGAAGGTTGGGCTTGGTCCGATTGCTCAGGTTGATCTTGCCTACTTTGTTCTTCAGCTTTGATCCTGGCAATAATCTTTTGAGCCTGTTCGCCTTGAGAGATTAGTTGTCTCCAAGAACGACATTCTGCAACTCCGATTCGGGCTAGGAGGTCTGTCTGCAAGTTGTGCCGACAAGTCTCTACTAAAGTAGACTGTGTCATACCTGACGAACACCGGAGAGCCATGGTTCGGAACCTTTTGACGAAGGCTTTGACAGACTCCCTCTTCTTTTGCTTAGTGGCTAGAAGGGTATGGATGGAGACTTCCGTATCCTCTTCGAAGAATCTTGACAGGAAGAGTCTCTCTAGATCTGTCCACTTTTGGATACATCCGGCAGGCAGTTTTCTGAACCATCCAAAGGCAACTCCCTTGAGGGTGCCAATGAATAATCGAGCCAGTATGGCGTCGTTTGATATCACATTTCCAGTCTGTGACTTGAAATGATAGATATGTTGGTTTGGTGATCCCGTGCCGTCAAAAGTTTGTAGCGTCGGGACTTCGAATTTTGGAGGATAAGGGGCTGTATCCCATTCGGCAGGATAGGGTCTGACAACTCCCTCGTCTTGGAGCTCGCTTCTGTTAGCCATGGCATTAAGGCGGGCTTCCAATTCTTCCATTTTGACAGACTGGAGATTCTGTTCGTTCTCCGTCTCTCTTCCTTCATCAGAGGAAGATTCTATGTTGTGGGCTTCTTGGTCAGAAGCCGTGTCATCAACCACTTTTCCCTTCCCTTTGCTTGTGTGAGGTCGGGATGAAGGCGTTTTTCCTCTCCGGGAGGATTCTTGCCTAGGTGGCGAAACTGTCTTCTGAGATTTGGCCTTGTCTGTGACAATTTGAGTCAACAGGGCCATGAGTTCATTGATGGCCTCTTGCTGAGATTTGAGCATGGCCTCCTGCTCATCAAGTCTCTTCGCGAGATCTTCATGGCTTTCTGTCATATAGGCAGAGCTCTCATGTTCAACAAAAGAGCTTGATGATTGGGACTCTGCAATGATCATATTGATAGTGACTCTAGGATACTCTGTCTCTGGAGACTTCTTCCTGTGAGAACGTCGTTGTTGGTTGGGCAAAGCAACGTTCGTAAATTGGTCGAACACCAACAGTTTGGCCACATATGAGCAACATTGATATTCCGAAAGGACCGTAGGAATCAGCCGTTCACATTGGAATGAACGAATGACTTGTTGCATCGGTCTTTCTCTCGATATGAACTCTCTCAAATCTGTTGTGAAGATTCAAGGAGAACTACTCACAGATCGTGAGGTTTGAATTGGAACCCCCAGTCCATGATTGGACATGACTGGCTCTTGGTGAACATGGATCTGGTTGAGATGCCTTGAATCCATGAACTTCTTATATCCGCCCATTAATCTAGTCGCGCTACGCAGAGTATTCGGGGGTCTCGCTGCCCGGTCAGCGAGCCGGGGGTCCAGGGGGCGGCGCGCCCCTGGCCAGGGGGTCCGGGGGGGATGGAATACCCCCCGGCGGGGTTCGGGGCAGCGCCCCGAAGCTCCACGATATATACCAGGCTCTGTATTGGATTTCGTCAACTGAACGCATGCCTGAGCTTCAGGTTTTGCTGATGAAACGCATATTCATCAGTTACATGCAAAATTTAGCAAGTGTGAATTCTGATTATCAGAGATCAAATTATTGGGCCATGTTATTAATCGGGAGGGCATTGCAGTGGATCCAGCTAAAGTAGTGGTCCTTCTAGATTGGGAGCCACCGAAGACCATTATAGAGATTTGTAGCTTCTTAGGTCTGACGGGCTATTACAGAAAGTTTATTCAAGATTTTTTTAAAGATCGTGATGCCGCTTACATGCCTTACTAAGAAGGGTGTACCATTTGTTTCGGGCATGGAGTGCCAGGAAGCCTTTGAGACTTTAAAGGCTAAATTGATTATTCCCAGCAGTGATAAGACTTTCGTCGTCTACATGGATGCGTCATTATCGGGTCTTGGAGGTGTTCTGATGCAGACCTAAAGAGTTGTGGCTTATATTTTGAGGCAGTTGAGGACTCAAGAGTAGAACTATCCCACTGTTTGTTGGAAAATTTGTAGTAAAAGAAACGAAGGAAAATTGATTTGTATTCCTTTAATCTCAGTTACAATTGGATTTCCTGATTACAAAAGAGAGGAGAATGATCTGGATTCTCCCCTTTGTTTAATTCTGGGTTCTTCACGGTGGCGATGAGATGCCTCCCTCGAATGCTCGCGTCGAGTTTGCTTCTCGTTGACGATCCGACGTCTTGTTTCACTGGAACATAGTCTTCTCCTCACGATTTGACGTTGTGGAGAACTCTGAACGAGTTTAAAACTCTATGAAAGAGTTGATTTAACCGAAAGTCGGTTATAAGCCAAGGATGAAGAAGATCTTGTTGCCGATCTCCAAAGCTCCAACCGAAGGATGAATGATCCTCTTTTCGCTGCCAAGAAGTTCCAACCGACCGCCTCGAAAGATCCAGCCCCGATCTGATTATCAAAAATCCCCCTTTTAACTCTGTTGAGTTTGTCGTTATTTATAGGGGATTAAGGGGTGTAACCACCTCCTTAATTCGCTCCTAAGTGGGGCTAATGGGATGTAACCGCCCCTTAAATCACTCCTGAGTGGAGTTGTGATCCCCTCGTATCGTGGGAAACGGTTTTGGAACCGTTCAGCTCGTGTTTGAACGAGTCAAACGCAGGCCCGCGTTATGACGTGAGTTCTGCATTCAAACGCAGTGTCTGGAAGCTTGAACGCATCGTCTGGAAGTTCGGACGCAGCAATTAGAAGCTGCGTTTGCAGCGTTGGAATCTACGTCTGAGCTGCGTTTGCAGCGATTTGGAAGCTGCGTCTGGCGGTGATTTGAGCTGCGTCTGGCGGCGATTTGAGCTGCGTCTGGCGTCGATTTGAGCTGCGTTTGGCAGCGATTAGAGCTGTGTCTGGCAGCGATGTGAGCTGCGTCTGGGTTGCGTTTGCAGCGATTTGGAAGCTGCGTTTGAGCTGCGTTCGTGGCTATGAACGCGGTGCGTCTTGATGCTGGTGTGCAGGGAGGACTTCCACAGTTTGATTTGAAGAGACCGTCGATTTGTAGTCTCTTTCTGTCGAAGCGTTGCAAAGATCGTCATTTTGTAATCTTTGCTTTAGCTCTCTGATATATGAGAGTCGTCAGATTGTAACTCCCGATGTTGATTATGAAGGCTGTTTGATTAGAGCTTCCATCAGTTATCGTGAAGGTCGTCAGATTGTAACCTTTAGCGATCTACGTGAAAGTCTTCAAATTGTAGCCTTCTGGAAGTTGTCAGATTGTAACTCTCATCATCGGTGTTTTGATGGGGATCAGCTATCTATTGTGATTTTTTGACAGCCTACAGGTATCCACACCCCTACCAAGAATTAGGATCCTCTCCTAATGAATCCTCTCCTAATATCTCCTAATAAGAAGATGTTGGCCTTTGATTTATCAATCAAAGACCAAGATCTTATCCTTATCTCCCCCTACTTTTGTGCATGAGGAGATCTTAGCCTTTGATTGATAAATCAAAGGTCAAGATCTCGTTAGGAGATATTAGGAACCCTCTCATTAGGAGAGAGAATCCGGATCCACCTACCAATACCTACACCCGTTGTGTACCAATACCTGTTTTCATGCTACTTAGGCCACTGACCATAATTTATTTATTTTTTCTTTAAACCTGTTTATGATGAATATTGAAAAACAAGTAATCCTTTGAATGGGGGAAAGAAACCACAATCAAGACACAGTAAAACGCTGGAAATCGATTTACATAAATAAAATTGCACAGTTCTACAACCGTACACAATCACATGCAAGTTCGCGTAACCCCTCCTTTCCCATTTACAAGACAAAAGTGGGTGTGCCTTATTCATGCTGATTGTGGATGCAATACAAAAGCGTGCGCTAGTTCCTCCCCCTCCTGAGAGCTTTCATGTTGGCAAATTCCCTCCACCCCAAAAGAATAGAATTCTCTCTCCATGAAAAGCCAAAACAGAAGGAAAGTTAAAGGTACAAAGTGTTACAGATTGACATCTCTTATGATTCCTTTTCGTCTGAAGTAACGCCCTCAGCCTCTTCTGCCGGAGGAGCCTCACTTAAGTCCAGACCCTCCGTCGGCAAGTCTGATGTCAGCGGCCCTAGAATCCCCTCCGAACTCAGACTCAATCCACTCTGCAACAAGGTTAAAGTAAGGTACATAACACAGCCTTTTGGTACACAAACTAAATAAAGCAGTCGTAATTTCAAGGATAAAGCTTGAAGCTTGGGCTGGCAATCTTTTGAAACACGCCATCCATATCAATAATTATAATTCATAGTAATAATTATCTCAGAGCTTGGGATAATCATATTACACCGACTTCTAACCCTTCTTGCCAGGAAGCTGGCGCGTTCTCTTGGGATTTGGATCCTCTCCGGTACTAAAAAGTAACGGAGAGACCATTGCTTTCACAATAGCTGTTGATTGATTAACGAAATGTTTTGATTGATTAATGGAAGGCAGTGATTTGTCTTATTAAGTGTAAAATAGGAACGAGCGCAATTCATGAGGTTGTGATAAATGTTATTCTTGTAACGGATTAGAATTGCCCATCACTGTCAATTAAATAATCACCGCTTTGCATTAAAAGCAGTGGTTTCTCAACTACTCTATGGTAGTGGAGAACTAGTCTAGAGATGATCCAAATTCTACAGAATTCCATTTTTCTGGATAGTTGTCCGTGCATAATTTCAACACATTCCAATAGCAAGTTATGTGTGAGAGTGTGGTTGTGTAACCAATGTCTACCACATATCAACTCTGAAGGTAGACTAAAGTCGTATTTATATCAAATTATTAGTTATTGTAAAAAAGAACTACAGATGATGTTTATGTAGCTCATCTTTATTATATAACCACTGGGAATTTTTCCTTCTTATCTTTTAAAGTTTCGCAGCAATCATCTTTAAAATAGGGTTACAATACAAAAACCACCATTAAGGTTAGATTAATACACAAACCCTTTAAAGGGGATTCCGGTAACAATCAACCATCTGAGATGGGCAAGGAGATTGGGCCAATGGAAGATGAAAACAAAAGCGGGGAATATGAGGGGAAAAAATAGCGTAAATTACACAAACCCCAAGAGCTTTCAGCATTTTGCAATAAACCCCCAATATCGGCCTTTAAATGTTGAATATGCTTAAACTGAGCTTACTGAGATGGGCAAGGAAATTGGGCCAATGGAAGATGAAAATAAAAGGCGGGAATGTGAGGGGGGAAAAACTGTAAATTACACCAAATCCCCAAGAGCTTTCAGCATTTTGCAATAAACCCCCAATATTGCACTAAACCTCCATTAACTTTTTGGAATTGTAGATAAACCACATAAATTAGAACGAAAAAAACAACATAAAATGGCATTTTCAAATGTATTGGGGGTTTAGTGTAATTAACCTAAAAGATATTGGGGGTTTTCTACAAAAGTTATTGGGGGTTTAGTTCAATTTTGAAAGTTTTCGGGGTTTACTCCAATACATTAAAAGTTTTTGGGGGTTTAGTATAATTTACCCAAAAAATACTCACGGATTTCAATGGAAGTTCACCGAAAAAATTGCCAAGTTGCATTGCTAGCAGAACCCCTTCAAATGTGGTTCTGTATTAATTAAACTTTAATGGTGATTTTATATTGTCACCCCATTTTTAAGGTGGATTCTGTTAAAAAAGAACCCTTTTTTTAAACTTTGAATGATTTCCTTTATTGAGTGCAAGTCTATGAGATTGTGCAGATGAAACAAAAGTGCCGACACTTCCACCACCTTACTATCTAACGCAAAGAAGACTTTTCAACTCAATATCTCTACAAGTTCTTAAATCTTTAAAAGATCATGACTATATTAATCATGTATTCTTACGTCGTGGGTAATCATCAATTTAAAAGGGTGAGATTCTAACAAAATACTATGAAATTATCTGCTTGCTGAAAAATTAAGATAGATCTCATTTAAATTGCAAGACTCCTAAAGGGAAGCAGTTACCTCAGGCTGAAATCTCAGCATATCAGCACGTGCCATTGCCTCTGCTTGAGCTATTCTCTGCCTGAAAGTCTGAGCCATCTCATCCGCCTTCACAAAGAAGTCAAACAAGAATACTCATAGTTAATGAATGAGACGAGCGTCAACAAAATTGAATGACAGAATAGGATTCATATAGCCAACTCCAAAATTTTGGGACCAAGGCTTTGCTATTGTTTATAAAAAAATTAAATTTCCTCAAAAGTAGTACCTTCTCAAAGACAAGCTTTGGATTGCGAATCATGTCACCAGGCGTTGGCTCCAACTTCTTTGTAGAAAGACTCACCCGCCCTCTTTCACGGTCATGGCTCAGTATCATAACCTTTTTCATTAAAAAAAGTCCAATTAGAATTAGAAAAATAGCATGGCAAGATTTGGCTTATAAGAAAATTGAAATTAGTTACCTTGAGGGTGTCACCAGGTTGCAATACTGTTGCAATGTCAGAAACACGGTCATGACTGATTTGGCTGACATGGAGAAGCCCGTTAATTCCACCAATGTCAATAAAGGCACCATATGGCTTTAGGCTCTGAACTGTTCCCAAAACAACGGATCCAATTCCAAGCTGCGCTTGGCTATCAGCCATAGCCCTCCGGTTGCTGAGGACAAGCCTAGATTGTTCCTCATCAACCTCCATGAATTTTAGAGGTATTTCCTTGTCTAGGAGCTCTTCTGCACTCGATTTCTGGTTAACATTCAAACCAGACGTACAACCATCAGCCAAATAGTCACATGCTGGGGATCCAAACACATGTAAATTTCACAAACACCCAAAACTGTGGGCCCTTTCCCATGAAACCCCTGAACTTTGCCTTTCCTAAACTCCCTAACTTTTTACGAAACCCCTCAACTTTTGCGACAAAGCCCCCAGCTTTCCTTTTCCTTGCGCACGAGTCAAGGTCAGAGCTCATGATCTTTGTTTTTTTCTATTTTTTGAAAACTTCAAATATCATGTATTTTCAACTGAATTTTACTTATAATCTTAGGAAATTATGAAACTTTCAGGTTAATTTTACAAGATGGCTTTCTCAACCAAATCCATTCAGTTGAAGAGATATTTACTTTTTAGAGAAAATATCTACACGGTTTATATAGTTTAAAAAATGTCATAATAAACAAAGTATTCCTCATGCTTTACAAATTAAAATTCTTGAGATAGCCTGAAATAAGAGTGCAGTACAAAGCACGAATGAAATGTTA